GGGGGGGGGGTGGAGAGTGACTGGAGGGAGTGGATGAATCTATGTGGATTATCTTTACCTGGAGTAAAGGTGTTTTTATGTTTTATCCCATTAGAATAGCATTCATCTATGTTCTTCTGGTTTTATATATAGGATCATCTGTCGGGGACCATGGATTGGGACATGAGATAATAGGCCATTGCTTGTAGTTGGTGCTCTATTAAGCATCTCTAATTTTCTAGCCCAAATAACCTTGTAAATTACCTTGGGAAAGTTAGGTTTCTTGTTGTTGCCGGGTTAGATGCAATTATTGTTGTTGGATGAATTTGATCACTTTGGTGCTCTTTTTCCCCAATTTTGTTGGTTTTGTGTGCTTGCACGTGTTAAATGATATTTCAAAGGTCATTTTAAGCCTGGGTAAGTTTAAATTTTATGAAAAATATGGTAAAGCATTTTGGCATCTGTTATTCAACTAGGATCTTTAGTTCTTTTCCTAAAAAAATATCCTTAATAATCATGGAAGAAGACAGCCACTTGATGCACCATGTGTTCAGTTAGTCTTAAACTTCTGTTAGAATTCTTTAAGTGATTGATAGGTATGCTTCTTTATAAGTGAACTGAGAAAGCAAATACACATCAATTATCTGGAATCTAGAGGCTTCAACAGTAAGCATCTTGTATCATGATTGCAGGAATTACGCTTATGCTGTGAATTGAATACTTAGTAATATGCTGATTATTTTCTGGAGAAAAGAATGGATCATAATCAAAGGGATTCTGATGTTGTTTAGATGTTTGAGTAGTATGATATCTGTGGGTTTTAAATTTGTCATTGTGATTGCTTTAATTTTCATCAAAATATAGCTATTAGTTGTTGGACCCATAAGCAGACCTTTTGGGTATATTGCCTGCTGCTGTTGTTATGCTCTGTGTTTTAAGGTGATTCATCATCCAATTTTTTAGAAAATTGGTTTGCACATCCTTTGGTTATTATGATATCCGAGTTAGCAGTGTCTGTTGGATATAACTTCTAGCTAACCTGAGAGGAGTGATTAGGTTGCTTTACCACTACTACATGCTTTGTTTGCTTTGAAATAGTTCATGCACTTCTGAAGTGGCAGCAAAAGTCGCTTCCTGTTTGATCATCTGTTTTGACTTAGGAGGGGGCATTGGAATATAACCGTTACTGAGTTCTTCATCGCTGATTTTATCCAAGTTAATTGGCCTGCTGTTTTACAGGTGTCCCTTGGACCGAAGAGGAACATCGGCTCTTTTTACTTGGTCTCCAGAAGTTGGGTAAAGGGGATTGGCGTGGAATATCACGCAACTATGTAGTGTCAAGGACTCCTACACAGGTAGCAAGTCATGCACAGAAATATTTCATCAGGCAGAGTAATGCTTCCCGAAGAAAGAGACGTTCGAGCCTCTTTGACATGATTCCAGATGATATGGTTTGTCTTACTTCTCTTTCTATCGCTTGCCAATCTGCTAGATAGATATACTCTTTAAACTTGAATCAGGTTTATTGTGTAGACAATCAGGTAATCGTTGTAAAGAAGAAAACCTTTTCATGCCAAGTATCCTTTCCCAATTAGGAAAAACTGGGGAATTGGATGTATACCGTACTAATTCCAGAATCTTTGTTTTCACTAGCTCTCATGTACCTTTTCTGCTGTATTCCAGGCCACAGATACACCCACGGTCCCTGAAGAACAAGTTTTGCTTTCTTCTCCGCAAGCACAAGGAATAGACAATGCAAATCCCATACCATCACTGAATCTCTCTCTCAGCTCTGAATTTGAGCCTGCAGAATCTCCAATGCAAGAAACAGTTCAAGAAACTGAAGAAAATGCAATGGAAACAGGAAATTTCACACCAATGGTACCTGGTTACTTCCCTGCTTACATACCTGTTCCTTACCCATTTTGGCCACCAAATCTAGCCCCTCTTGTTGAAGAAAATGGCACAGAGACATCTCATCATCAGGTCCTAAAGCCAGTTCCTATAATTCCAAAGGAACCTGTAAATGTAGACGAACTAGTCGGCATGTCTCAGCTCAGTATAGTAGACACAGGGACAGGGCATAGAGAGCCTTCACCATTGTCCTTGAAGCTAACAGGAGAATCATCACGACAGTCAGCATTCCATGCTAGTGCACCAGTTGGTGGCACAGATCTAGGCAACGGGAAGACAAGTGCAATTCAGGCAGTTTGACCCACGTGAAACGAGGGTGGTTCTTCTATTTATTAGTTTTCTCATTCTCTTCTGTACAACTGAATTTTCTACTAAGGCATCCTTCCTGTTTAACTTCTTTAGCATGCAGGTTTTCTAGTCCTTATAACATAATCTAAAATCAGGTTCTGTAATTATTTATTCATTCTAACTGTAAACAGCTAGAAGTAGTAATAATTTAATTGCTTTTGCAGCAACTGCTGGTTTTATTCAGTTTAAGGTATAGTGATTATCTTCTTTTAGTCGAAGTATGATATCTTTGGTTGAAAAGCAAAATTTTAAGTTATTTCAGAAGAGTAGGGTAATTAGTTGGTATAAGTTTAAGAAACTCTTTAGCCAGTTTCAGCTACATATTTTATGATTTAAGAGGCTGTTTTGTAAATATTTTTTCTTTTTACAAAACAGCCTTCTAAATCATAAAATGTGTATCTAGAGTTGGTATAAGAGTTTCGTAAACTTATCCCAATGTTAGTTAAACCAACACTTTTCCTATGATACTGGTGTTCGTTAATCCAAGATACTGTTATATATGATCTTCTTCTTTTGGCCACCTATGGTTTATGATCATTGTTCTCTGCATTTTCAACAAAGTTGCTTTATCGAAAATTCTTATTCATTACTAGAAACTACTAGCAAATGCAAGAACACATTCAAATCTAAAAATCATTTTCCAATGTCAACGTTAGATGGATTACCTTAAATGAAGCGGTCAAAACATGATTAATATCTCAAAATATTGATGTAAAGGTAGTGTGCTGATGGAGAAATAAACAATTTGAGTCAAAACTCTAGACACAATAATATATAGTTAAATATTAGTATTTATGAACTACATCTGTGAAAAATTAAACCAAAAAATACTCAAGTTTATGTTATTTTAATAAAATATTATGAATAAAGACATAATTTTATTTTGCTTTAACAATTTAAATATTTTAATTTTAATTTTAAAAAATTTATTAAAATAATATAATTTCGAGTGTTTTGTACTTAACTTTTTTATAATATAATATGAACCTTTTTAATATAATTATATATATATATTTTTGAACATTGAGGAATTGAATTGGGGAGGAAAAATAAATTTGAGTTTAGAATCTAAAACATGTTGTCTTAACCTACATATACAAGTGGATGATCATTAAACCACCATCGACTGGACTTTAATATAATTATATTTGATTATATATATTCCTGACAATATATAACATTAGATATAGAGATTAGCTTTTTCTTTTTTAAGATAAAGATGTTCTCCACCTACTTTTATTCATGTATGAGCCTAGAAAATTTATTAACCTCCCAAAAAAACCAAACCTTAATTAGTAAAATAGGGAGTAAACTTCATTTCAACTAAATTACAACTCGTTGGTTTTGAAAGATCGGGTAATTACATACATTATGGGAAATTACCCAAATCTCTAACAATGCAAACAAACGGCGAAGGAAAAAAAATGAATTGGAAAAGTTGCGGAAGGCGGGAAGAAAATTTTAAGAATGATTTCTTTTCGCACACCCGTCGCCCGCAGACCTTCACCGTTACCCTGTAATGACGTCTATTAAGAGATGACGAGTTGTGTGTTTTCATTGGCTGGGGACCCATGATATGCTAGAATTTCTCCTCATTTTGACTTACCCTACTAGAATACCCAGAAGACAGAGGTGGAGAACCCAACCCAACTCCGGTGAAAGTGCTTCCTTGGTGGAGTAGAAAAGGAGGATTAATCAAAAGCCATTCTTGATGTTTCTGATTCTGTGAGCTACTTTGAATTTGATGCTTTTTTTTTCCCCTCTTTTTGGGTATTTTAGATATTGCAGCTCTGTGTATCGTTTTTCATGTTAATAATCATCATTTAGATCATATAAAGATTGCAACTTTGAAAGTGGGAAAATGGTTTTCCACATTTTTGGTCTTTTGGGACTTTTCTGAACCCTAATCATTGTTATCTTGTTTTCAATTTTCATTGTTTCAGCATTTGGGGTTTAAACACTAATTTGTAAAGGAAAAATGAAAAAACCCATAATAACATGTTATCAGATGTTTAATTCTTCTTTGTACAACTTTTTATTGTTATTCCCAGTTTTAATGGGTCCCCTAATTTACATGCTTTTTTTTTTTATTTTTTTATTGCATTTAGATTCTTACTTTTTGGGGAAATTGAAAAAGGATAGACTTTTCACTTGTCTTCAGCAGAAGTTGAATTTTGTTTGTTCAATTAATCGCTAATCAAGTTCAGATGAGCATTGACAGAACCAGTAGCTTGTCTGATGAAGTTCTTTGTCACATTTCATCATTCCTTCCAACAGAAGATGCAGTTCGCCCATCCATTCTATCAACAAGGTGGAGGTATCTTTATCTTTGGATTTCTAATCTTGAATTCAAATATAAAACAAATGGTAAGGGAACTCTGGTTGCTTTCATGAATTTTGTGGATGGAGCGTTGCTCCAATTTAGGAGACCATCTATTGATAGATTTTGTCTTAATATCTGGGGAAATGAATCCATTGATCCTTTGCATTTTGATGGATGGATACAAGCTTTATTACTGCATTCCATTCGAGATCTTGATTTATTCATCCATTGGGATCGTCGGTATGGACTGCCAGCTGATTTATTTACTTGTGAGACACTAGTTGTTTTGAAATTGCAGTTGTCCAATTCATTTTTACAAGTCCCATTAAGGGTTTGTCTACCGAGCCTGAGGGTTCTTGACCTGTATATGTTCTATGAAGATGATGATTTTGGTGAATGGCTCTCTTTTGGATGCCTTGCTCTGGAGGATTTGGTTTTCCAAGGAACATTCTTGGGGTTTGAGTGCAAACTCAATGTTTCAAATGCTTCACTCAAGAGACTAACAACCGTGACTAGTAACTTTGATGGCTCTGTTCAGATTATCATTAATGCACCAAATCTTGTCAATTTGAATTACTCTGTCTATGAATGTAACTACAATGTATTTATAAACTTGCCATCGATAACCAAAGCCTGGATCAATTTTCACTATGTGCATGCGGAGTGGATTGATCATATACTTGTGCAACTAGTCTAATGAAAGGAATAAGCAGTATTCATTCACTTAGTATCTCTGGTGAAACTCTATTCGTAAGTTTAATGCAGGTGTTATTTTATTTTCCTTTCAGATTTAAATTTTAAATCCAAAGGATAGCTAGAATTCTGACTTTTCTAACTTCATAGGTAGCAGTTTTCATCTCAGCTATAGAATTGCAGTTAATTACAAATTTTGTTTTGTAGGCTTTTCATAAGGAATCTGTCCCTCACCCTTTGTTTTGCAACATGAGACACTTGGAAATCAGTGAGATTGGACCAAAAGGTTTTCTAGGTTTGGAAGAAATACTTCTGCATTCTCGTTTTCTAGAAACCCTTGTTCTAAAGGTGTGAAAACAAAGATATCTTACAATTCCAACTAGTCAAATGCAGAGTATCAATTATGATTTCCTGTATTTTCTTGATCAGGATCTGCCAAAAAAATTGAATACCAGTAATAATTGGTATAAACTAGAGGAAAGCAGGCCACCTCGTTGTTTTCTTTTTAGCCTCAAGGCAATTGAAATTATTTCATTCAAAGGGCAAGAAGCTCATTGGCAATTTGTCAAGTACTTCTTGAGGAATTCCAGAGTTTTGGAACACCTGACAATTCAAATCAGAGGAAAAGAGAAGAAGCAATTGAAAATTGCTGAGCAGTTATTGTAATCCCAGTTAGCTACCCAAGAAGCGCAGGGGGGGGGGGGTGTTTGGGTTTGAATTGGATCTTATCAATTTATTTAAAAACTTTTTTTTTCTCTTTAAAACTTGAATAAAAATTTTAACTTATAAATTGTTATGCAGAATAAACAAACAGTAATTGCAATTTTGCAAATAAAGTGCAGAAAAAAGAAGAAGAGAATATCAAGCCGTGATTTATAGTGGTTTCTTTAACTGGAGTACATCTACTTCTCAAGCCTTTTTGCTTGAGAGTTCAACCCATTAGGATTCTCTTATTTATGAGTGCAAAATTAAACTGGAACAAACTCTTGTTTGCGGTGTAAGATTAAACACTCACAACTGAATCTGAAGAACTTATTCAACCCTTTCAAGGATTATTTTAATTCAAGAAGAATACAATTCCCTTGTAAGCAAGAACAATTAACCCAAAAAGCTCACAAGAAGAAGAAGATTCAGAGTTGTTTCAATTCTATAATCTCTGTTTTTCTATCTCTTAAGAAGTTCGTTGGGGAGAACTCTTCAGACCTGATTTTTGATACATTTAAAGGTTGGTTGGACGATCTTGCAATTAAATCTTGTTTTGCCCTTCAATGCCACCTCACAATTGCTCCAATCAAATTCTACCTTTTTTCTACTTTTTATAATAGACTTTAACTTGTCTTGGAAAGTGGTTTAGTTATTTGGATCGTGGCTAATTCATTTGGATCTCTAAGGCCCATTAAAACAAAACAAATAATTGAACTGTAATAGATTTATCTTTCAAAATTTTTGCTTTGAAACTAGAAATATTGATTCAAACTGTTTTAAGAAAAACTAAACTATGAGATTGCTTCAAATCAATTGGAATTGATTCAAACCCAAAACTCTGGACAAGGAGGGCAGCATTTGATTCTAATAGTGGAGAAAGATTAAAATCCTTGAATTAACTTTGCTCCACACTTAGCACAAAATAGATTAAACTCCTTCGATCATGGTTTTAAATCATCATCAAAACACAAAGGAAACCTATTGATGTTTCCAAGAGTTTCAATGAATTGCCAAGTCAGGATTGCCTAGAATTCTTCGTATTTTTGGTATGTCGAATTAGCTGCTGTTCTTCAAGTTCTTATCTCTTATTACATTGTTGATTTCTCATTTCTTATTACATTCTTGTTCTTTCTTTGGTTAAATTTTGCTTACATATTGGGTGTTCTGGTATTACAGGTAGGATTGAAGGGGTTTTTGGATGGAGTTTTGCAAGTCAACTTGTGCTGTTTTTCTTTTCTCTTCGAGATCAGGCTTTGCTTATCCCATTGGCAGACATTATGGTGGAGTGCAGAAATTTTGGATAAAGTTGGGGAGAACGAGAACTAGATTCTTGTCCATAGAAGTGAATTGGAGGTCTTGAAAAAGTTGCACTTTTTCTTTTTTGGTATAAATATCAGATGATTCGGTGTGAGGGGATTCCAACTTGATATACTACTTTCATCTTTTTATTATATTGTATTCTTAGCCCAAAACTTGAACACATTGCCTGATTGTAGCTGCATTGTTCATAACGATCTTGTAATTTTCCAGCAACATTGAGGAATGCTAATGACATTCATTTTCTCCAGTAGTGTCCAAGGTCTTAGGAACGTCTAGTAGTGCTCCACCTGGAAGCATCAACCGGTAGCCCTCACCAAGGTGCATTTCCAGCTGTTGCTCTATAAATGAGAAGAAAATTTTCTTATTTTTGCTGGTAAATTTTGATGGGTGGTCTATTCAGCAAGATAACCCTCCCTTTTCAAATTCCTACACAGTTTCAACTCAATATTGAGAATTTGTGCTTGGAGTCAAGCTCCTAGACACTTCCTGAGGGGCTGTTCCCATTTTTTAATATTGAACATACTGTAACTTCACTAACTTAGGCATGTCAATTTAATTTCTGTTTTTCTTCTGTCATAGTTATGCTTCAATATAGGGATATACTTCTGTTGAGACCCACAAGCCGCAATCCCTGATGAAGGTGGGATTTGATATTCTTGATATAATTATCAAATGACTTTATAATTGATGCGTGGCTTAAACAATTAACATTTGGTTGGTTTGCAGATTATTCTCCTTAGATGGTTGGTATGCTATCACCAGCACATTGGTGACTTTGAGATCATGGATTCTACCTTTTTCAGGTTTGTTACGAGGATCATGTCTTATTCAGGCTACTTGAATAAAGTTTAGGTGGATGTGGAGCCAAAGCTGCCTACAGTGTGGTGGCTGCTTTCAATAATTTCTACCAACCAATGGATTCTTAAGAAGATGAGCAGAATTGATGCTGCATTGGAGAATATCAATGTAAAGGTTGCTGAGAAAGCAACCTTAAAGTTTACTTCTGTATGATTGCATCAATGTTTGCAAGGGAGGTTTATTCGAAGGAGCACATTGCTGGGAAGGAAAAAGGGATATGTATATTTAATATTTGATGAGAAGCTACAGTGAGCAGCCACTTCCTTTATGTGGCCAATCCTGGGTAACCAGCCCCATCCTTTCTAGAACAAGATCGGCATGGCAATTCATATTCCTTTCTTGTCAATTAATCTACAAGCTCTAAAATTTTCAACAGCAGGCTGCTTGTTCTAAATATGAATGCTGGTTCAAAATCCAGTTTTGCTGGCTCCATGTTACTAGCAATATATAAAGTTTGATACACTTTAAACTTGAACGATAAGATGGTGAAGGTGAGGAACATGAGGACCTTGAATAATTATTTTTATTTTTTTTTGAGTAATGGACCCTGAAAAATCTTGTTATCAATTAAAACATATATTTTGCTTCCACTGAAACTCTCAGACTTAACAGATCTTGACATGATTACTTGTTCACAGCAAAAGGTACATACATGGAAAGCTTGTGGTGAGTACAGTTTCAAAGAAGTCTTAAGCCTTTAAAAGCAAGGGTGAGTTACTACTTACTTTACTGCTCTCTGATTTTGGACCAGGCATGTGTAGAAGCCAGTGAAATTGTTGTTATTATTGTTGTTTTTATCTTTTTATCAGCTAAAAGTAATT